TGCAGCCATCATAAAGTGCCCGAATTTGGGGGTCCTGCAATGGTCGTGTGAGAAGCGGTCATAAGGCTCTTTTTTCAGTGTCTCTGTAGCAGGGGTCTTCAAACTTGGCCCTTTTATGACTGGTGGACTTCAACTCCCAGAATTCCTCAGCCAAGCACGCTGGCTGAGGAATTCTGGGAGTTGAAGTCCACCAGTCATCAGAGGGCCAAGTCTGAAGACCTCTGGTCTGGATCCAAGCCCGCAGTTTCATCAAAATGGCCGACTGAGGAATTCTGGGAGTTGAAGTCCACCAGTCATAAAAGGGCCAAGTTGGAAGATCCCTGGTCTGGATCCAAGCCCGCAGTTTCATCAAAATGGCCGACTGAGGAATTCTGGGAGTTGAAGTTCACCAATCATAAAAGGGCCAAATTTGAAGACCCCTGGTCTAGATCCAAGCCCGCAGTTTCATCAAAATGGCCGACTGAGGCGCAGTTTCATCAAAATGGCCGACTGAGGAATTCTGGGGATTGAAGTCCACCAGTCATAAAAGGGCCAGGTTTGAAGGCCCCTGCATTATGTGATGCCACAAAGTAGAAGAGCAGGTTGGGGACAAAGCACAGCTGGCTGGGGAATTCTGGGAGTTGAAGTCCGCACCTCTTAAAATGGCCGAGGTTGAGAAACACCGGTTAAGCTCTGGGACACTGCAGCCATCATAAAGTGCCCGAATTTGGGGGTCCTGCAATGGTCGTGTGAGAAGTGGTCATAAGGCTCTTTTTTCAGTGTCTCTGTAGCAGGGGTCTTCAAACTTGGCCCTTTTATGACTGGTGGACTTCAACTCCCCGAATTCCTCAGCCAGGCATGCTGGCTGAGGAATTCTGGGAGTTGAAGTCCACCAGTCATAAAAGGGCCAAGTTTGAAGACCCTTGGTCTGTAGCTTCGAACGGTCATTGAATCAAAACCTGTGGCCATTCAGTTATCCTGAAGCAGCCCCAAATTGGCCTTTTAAATCCATCTTCATGAGTTACTCATAACCCCATTTTTAAAAAGTATTGATTCTAAAGGACACGTCCGTATCCCTATATCCACGAGGAAGGGAAGCCTTCTCCTGCAGGATTGACATCCAAATAGAGAAATTGTTCCCACAGGGCCATCCTTCCTGCTCTAAATCTTATCCCTTTTGACTACCTAACTTTATTTATGGTGCTAATCCAAGAATGAATAACATTAATGCCCTCCGTCCTTTGCTTACCGCGTTTTTAAATCTCGATTTCTATCCCTGCCACAGAGGCTTAATAAATATCTATAAGCTTCAGCCTAGCCCGAGGATTCAGCGAATTGGAATCAGTCTTTTTTTTGCCATCGTGGAATATGTGTCTGATGAAACGCAGCGTCACCCACCATCCAGGCAGTTCTTCACTTCCTGTATCGAGATCCTCGGCCAGGTGAGCGGTTTTTGGGATAGGATTCTGTCACGGGTGAAATTGAGTTATCCGTTCACGCCGATTTAGCCATTCCACGATGGAATTATTTTAATAGGCCACTGAGCGCTTGTTAAAGTGGATGGGAAATAAGAGATGCATGCTAGCAAATAAATAAGCTATAGATAACTTTAAAAGCCGCCTTATTGGTGAAATGGGCAGCGTATAAAATTTAATAAATAAATAAACAAACTATAAATACGTGTGATGGTAAATAAACTCTAGATGTGCGTGATAGTAAATAAATTATAGCTAATTTTTAAACTCATTAATGAAATGGGCAGCATATAAAATTTAATAAATAAATAAACTATAAATACGTGTGATAGTAAATAAACTATAGCTAATTTTAAAACTCCTTATTGGTGAAATGGGCAGCATATAAAATTTAATAAACAAAATATAAATACGTGTGATAGTAAATAAACTATAGTTATGCGTGATAGTAAATAAACTATAGCTAATTTTAAAGGTTATTGGTGACATGGGCAGCATATACAATTTAATAAATAAATAAAGTAAATACGTGTGAGAGTAAATAAACTATAGATATGTGTGATCATAAATAAGCTAATTTTAAAACTCATTAGTGACAAGGGCAGCATATAAAATTTAATAAATAAATAAACTATAAATACGTGTGATAGTAAATAAACTATAGACATACGTGATAGTAAGTAAAACTATAGCTAATTTTAAAACTCCTTAGTGAAATGGGCAGCATATAAAATGTAATAAATAAATATACTATAAATACATGTGATGGTAAATAAACTCTAGATGTGTGTGATGGTAAATAAACTATAGCTAATTTTAAAACTCCTCATTGGTAAAATGGGCAGCGTATAAAATGTAATAAACAAACTATAAATACGTGTGATAGTAAATAAACTATAGTTAATTTTAAAGCTTATTGGTGACATGGGCAGCATATAAAATTTAATAAATAAATAAACTAAATACATGTGAGTAAATAAACTATAGATATGTGTGATCATAAATAAACTAAAACGAATTTTAAAACTCAGTGAAATAGGCAGCATATAAAATTTAATAAATAAATAAACTATAAATACGTGTGGTAGTAAATAAACTAGAGATATGCGTGATAGTAAATAAACTATAGATATGCATGATGGTAAATAAGCTATAGCTAATTTTGAAGCTTATTGGTGACATGGGCAGCACATAAAATTTAATAAATAAACTATAAATATGTGTGATAGTAAATAAACTATAGCTAATTTTAAAACTCCTTATGGGTGAAATGGGCAGCATGTAAAATTTAATAAGTAAAGAAAGAACAATTTAAACTGAAATCTGGCAGTTGACCACAGCAGAGCTGTGGTATGTTCTGACAATTGAGAAAATTTACGATCACTATTCGGTGTGAAGGGTCAGCTTCCCTTTTTACGAAAAAGACAAAAATCAGATGGTTGTCAGCAAGTGGCATACTCAAAGATTGGCCTCGGCTAACGCTTGCACGCATGCGCGAACGGGATGTGCAGCCTGCATGCGCTAGTGGCCCCATTTGTGCAGGTGCGCAGGTGCTCGCCACCACCGCTGCTAGTCCCGCGCACACGCACAAACGGTTCTGCGGGCTCTAGCGCGAGGGGGGAAGTGGACCATAGGTTGGGGGATTCCTGCATTGGAGGGTCTCGGCCTCCTGAAGAGACCCCGCAGGACTGGCTGTTGGCTGAACGGAAGCCCCACCTCTCGTTCCAGGTGTTTATCGTCGGGACCAAGTCCGAATGCCAGCGGGTTCTACAAACCATTCTGAAGAACCGGAGGCTTTGCACGCTGCTCTCCCCCTACTTCACCCCTGTTGCCTCCCCGGAGGAGTTTGTCAACTTGTACGAGAAAGTTGTGGCTCTCCTGGGCGACCACAACAGCGACGTCATTTTCATGCTCCTGACAAAGGTGTGAGAGAGGGAGGGGCTGCCATGCGCCTTTGATGCCTGGGCAATTGATCTGGGGGGCTTTTTCCCCTCCTTCTTCTTGAAAGCAATGCCTGGATTTTAAGGGTTTCGGGCATCCCATGAAGTGAATAGAATAGAATAGAAAATATGGAATGGAACAGAATAGAATAGAATAGAATAGAATAGAATAGAATAGAATAGAATAGAATAGAATACATCTGTCTGTCTATCTCACCATCCATCTATTTACCATCCATCATCCATCCATCCATCATTCTCTTTCTCTCCATCCTGTCATATCTGTCTGTCTATCTTCATCATCCATCCATATCTCTATTTACCATCCATCCATCCCATCATTTTCTCTTTCTCTCTCTCCATCCAGTTATCTATTTGCCTGTCAGTTCATCTGTCTATCATCTGTCTGTCTGTCTGTCTATCTCATCATCCATCTGTCTATTTACTATCCATCATCCATCCATCATTCTCCTTCTCTCCATCCAGTCATATCTGCCTGCCTGCCTGCCTGCCTGCCTGCCTGCCTGCCTGCCTGCCTGCCTATCTATCTATCTATCTATCTATCTATCTATCTATCTATCTATCTATCTATCTATCTATCTATCATCTATCTATCTATCTATCTATCTGTCTGTCTGTCTGTCTGTCTGTCTGTCTGTCTGTCTGTCTATCCATCCATCCATCCATCCATCCATCCATCCATCCATCCATCCATCCATCCATCCATCCATCCATCCATCCATCCATTAACCATCCATCTGTCTGTCTACCATCCATCCATCCATCCATCCATCCATCCATCATTCTCTCTCTCTCTCCATCCAGTCATATCTATCTACCTGTCTGTCTTTGTGTCTGTCTGTCTGTCCGTCCGTCCGTCCGTCTGTCCATCCTTCTCTCTCTCTCCATCCAGTCATATCTGTCTGTCTCTGTCTGTCCGTCCATCCATCCATCTATTTACCATCCGTCTGTCTACTATCCATCTATCCACCCATCCACCCATCCACCCAACTCTGTTTCTCCGTCACTATTTGATTAGACATATAGAAACAAAGTACAAAACCCTAAAATAAGATTAGTACACTTTAAAAAGGAAAACACCTGCTCCTGCAGGCAGGTGGGGGGGGATCCAGGAAAAAAATAATCTCTCCTTTTTCAAATTCTCTGCACCTCTTGGCCCTTCCCCCCCCC